GCTCGCCTGCACCTTGGACCTGCTGCTGCTGCTGTTGCTGCTGCTGCTGCTGCTGCTGCACGTAGCCGTGGACAAGACAAAGGTAGAGCTTGTTGAGTCTGTGGGCTTCGAAGTGCATGCGAGCCAGATGAAAGCCCCGCGCTGTCTTCGCCACAAGAAGGGGCCCTGAGGCGCAGCAGCAGCAGCAGCAGCAGCAGCAATAAGGGCCCCAGCAGCAGCGGGTATAAACAGCCGCAGAACTGTAGCTACTGCGGTAGGCAGGAGGCCCCTTCGCGGTGGCCCTTGATGCACCCTTAACAGCAGCTTCGGGGGCCCTCTGTTACCCCAGGGGCGCCTAAGGGGCCCCAAGGGGTCCTTGGGGGCCCCCTTGGGGCCCCCAAAAATCCCCCGTCCCTGGGGCCTCTGGGGGCCTCTGGGGCCTCTGAGGGCCCATGGGGCCTCTGGGGTTCCTGGGGGCCCCTGAGGGCCCCTGGGGCCCCCAGGAGCCCCTATGAGCTTCTTGGGGCCCCTGGGGTCCCCTGGGGGCCCCAGGGGCCTCTAAAGATTTTCAGGGGCCCCTGGGGGCCCCTGAAGCCCCTGTAGATTCCTGGGGGGCCCCCGAGGGGCCCCAGGGGCCCCACAGTTTGTGGGACTTACCACTAGTTTCGCAGTCAAGTCTGTGGGTACAGCCTGAAGCAAGAAAAGGGTCTAAAAGGACCCTCCCGAATTCCTCTCCAGCTGTAAATCTCTCGGGGGCCCCCTTGGGGGCCCTCCCTGGGGGGCCCCCCTCTCCCCCTAGCCCCAGGCTCTGCCCTGCGAGGGGCCCCTGGGGCCCCCTGAGCCGCACGGCGGGCACCCCAGGCTGCTGTAGGGGGGCCCCCGGCAGCAGAGGGCACTTCTTTTCAACATATCGGGCCCTCAGAAACAAATGAAGTGGCTCAGGCCTTCCGCTGTTTAGCAGCTTTTCGCTAAGCAGGGGGCCCCCACTAAGGTCTTCTTGGGGGGCCCCCCTTGGGGCCCCTTGGGGGCCCCCACCCCGGGTCTCTTGGGGGCCCCCCCTTCGGGCCTCTTGAGGGGCCCCCGTTGGGGCCTTGGGGGCCCCCCCCAATAGCCCCTCAAGGGGTACTTCCTGATTGCTTCGTAGGGGGGCCCCCCGGGAGGCCCATGCAGGGATTTCAAGAGCACCAGGGGGGCCCCCAGGGGGCCCCCAGAAGACCGGGGGTCCCCCAGGGGCCCCACAGGCTTCTGGGGCCCCCGGGTCTGTCTGGGCTGTGTTGATGAGCCAGTAGGGGGGTTTGTAAACCACCTGAGACGGGGACAAGGCAGCAGCAGCAGCAGCAGCAGTAGCAGCAAGACGCAGCAGCAGCAGCGGCAGCAACAGCAGCAACAGCAGCAGCAGCAGCAGAGCATCTGCACTCACTAGATAGTCGGGGGTCTCAATGAGGGCCCTCGGGGTTTCTTTCTGGAGGCCTCCTGTGGGGCCCCCCCACCTTGGGGAGAGAGTGTCTCCAGCAACACTGTTCTGCTGCTGCTGCTGCTGCTGCGGGTTTGGCTGCTGTTCGGGGTGCTGCTGCTGCTTGCTGCTGCTGCTGCTGCTGGGAGCAGCAAGCTGAAGAGCAGCAGCTGTGAGGCCCCTAAAGAGATAAGGAGAAAGGAGACCCACGCAGCCCAGGCAGCAGCTGAGGGACCACACATCTCGCAGAGACGCCGCTGCTTCTGTTTGCTGCTGCTGCTGCTGCTGCTGCTGCTGCTGCAGCTTTCCCCTGGAAGACCCGGAGGGGCCCCCAAAGGCCAAAGCGCGGGGGCCCCCCTTCTCCAGACGCCGCCTTACCTCTCGGCAAACTGAATGCCAAACAAGAAGAGCGGCCTTCATGTACCTTTGCTGCTGCTGCTGCTGCTGCTGTTGCTGCTCCCGCCGCTGCTGCTGCTGTTGCTGCTGCTGTTTGTGCAGCTGCTGTTGTTTGTGCCGCTGCTGTTGCTGGATTTGTGCTGCTTTCTGCTGCTGCTGCTTTTGCTGCTGCTGAGTTTGTGCTTCTTTCTGCTCCTGCTGCTTCTGCTGCTGCTGCTGCAAAGTGCGCGTTTGAGGGGCCCCCTCAAAGAGAGCTAGGGCCTCCTTTTGCTGCTTCCTTGCCTCTTGCTGCAGCAGCGCGGTCTCGTGGGGGCCCCCTTGGGCCCTCAGCTGCTGCTGCAGGAGGGGCCCCCCAGCAGCAAACGCAGCAGCACGCTGCATGCCGATGCAGAGGCCCGCCAAGTCGCGCAGGGAGGCCTCCGCCAGAATCCTGCTGCTGCTGCTGCTGCTGCTGCTGCTGCTTTGAGAGGGCATTTTGGACAGCAGCAGCTCCGGAAGGGACACAAAAAGGGCCTCAGGGAAGGCCTGGTGCTGCGATGCTGCCAGCATTGCAGCAGCAACATCGCGGCAGCTCGGCAGGGGCCCCCGGGGGGCCCCCCGCGTGGGGGCCCCTGGGGGGACCCCTGGGGGGGCCCCTGG